GGTACTTTCGGTTACTTTTAGTCGCTTATTGTATGCGTAGGTGAATACTGTTCAACTGATATTAGAGGACGATAACTATCGACTAAGATGCCGAAAATATAAACAGAGAACGATGTACTGAAAGATTAATGGATACAGAGACGAAAAGGAAGGATTTCCAAAGGGAGCGTACATTCTCTCCTTGCTAGAGGCTTTGGCTGCATCAAGCCCCAAAGTAATGGTCGCGCAGACGAGTGTATATTCCGCACCAGCCGCACAGCATTCTAGCGTCCAGTCATGAACCACGCACTGCTCCAAATATATCCGGAAGTCTCTAGTGCTACCGGAGCTAGAACCATAATTGACCCCATTGGATCCTTAATACGCTTCACAATTGCTGAAGACAATGCTGTCGCTTCATGGTGAAAACTGCAGTAAACTTGTTGCATGTTGCTACAAAAGCCATGATAACTCGACCGTTAGTGGATTAAACCTAACATGACGCAACGCTTTACACCGAAATGTCGAAGCATTACATAAACAATCATTGTAAATAGTGCAATATCTATGAGGCAATGGTCCGCCTAATTGTGGTAACGATAATGCAGCAGGGTTACATTGCTCATGCGCAACAATTAAAAAAGTTTATAGCAATAGCTGAAGTTAATCCGTTCATCTGTAACCTTCGAAACCACGTCAATGTTATCGATGAGATCAAAGCTAAGGCTTTGACGACAAATGACGAAAGTGTAAATGAAGGGGTTTACTCTTCCATTGTTAAATAACGATGCACTGGTGGTAAATATCAGCACAGCGCTAAGATCAATGGTTATCTATCACTTCAGTACAAATGTTAATTTCATATGTGAATGAAATATTAGCAAGACATATCGCTCCGTTAAATTCCGACTTAATTAACTCGCTGTTAACACTAGCTTTTCAAAGACTAGGCAGATCCGTTGCACATCTTACGCTGGATTTGTAGATTTGTTTACTTCCGCACGTGCTCGTACAACCACATTAATGGCGCCAGCGGACTAAACGTGATTTTGATTTTGCACAAGTAAAAAGAAATATATTACACACGCATGTTTATATACATTTGAAGATTTGCAAGTGTGTAAACAAATATGACGGTTTTATTTGCTAAATCGACTGGCATTAAATTATTGCCTTTTAAGTTGCTACCTTGGTCTTTCCGATTCCGTAATCTGACAGAAGGATAAGGAGGAATGAATATACTTTCCCAGTTTAAAATGGAGCTGAAGAGATAAGTGCGCTTACCTTTAGAATACTTTCTCCATGTTTAGTGTTGTGAAATGCCAGGGCTCTTTGTAGACCAGATGAGTAGATATCAACAAAGCCAAATCTGCATTTTCAAGAGTCAACCAATTAAAAAAGAATTCATGATAGGGCGACACACACATCAGGAAAAACGTAAAATAATATCAAACATACTTAGCCATTTGGTCCTTAGGATCTATCACTATTCTCGCTTCCACAACTTCTTTCTGCAGTCCCTTCTCAGCGAACATTGCTTGCAACTTCACCGCGTCGTAATCCGGCGAGAATCCAGACACATATAATGTTCTAATATCCTGATCACGACTCCAAAAATTATCGGTGTCGGGTTCTCTTTCTTTCGGTATAGACCCAGACCGATTTTGGTGGGCCGACGATGGTGTCATACGATATCCACTTCGGTGTTCCCTATTCCTATTGTCACGGTCCCAGTCTTGTTCTCTAAACGAACCGGTACGGCGATTATTGTCGCGACGATCATATCGTTGTCTACCGCGATACCGACCTCTACCGGTATCTTCGTTGCGGTATTCATATTTCTGTTCTCTTTCACGCTCAAAATCAAACTTTCGTCCCCGAACGTCGTGACCAGAATCTACCCTCATTCCCCTATCGTTGATTGCTCTCTCATCATTCCAATTGTCTGTCATCTGTTTGTCATCTACATAGTCACCACTGACAACATCGTGGGCCCGATCATCAATGAATTCTGATTTAGCGGGATGTACCTGAATTTGTGTATCCTCGATTTTTGTTCCGTTCAGTTGCAATGCTTCCTGCGCGTCGTCCAAGTTCTCAAACTCAATGTAAGCCTTCCTGTATTCATAAAATAAGAGTCCCGCGTTGTCAGATAATTTCAACTCGACTTCAAAAAGGTTCAAGAAACAGACCTGTCATCGTCGAACGCATTGATGGTTTTAATTTCTCCACAGCCACCGAAAAATTCAAATAGCATTATTTCGGACATCTTCTTCGGAAGATTACTCACAACGACAGCAGCAGACGAAGTATTTTGTTTATTCTTCTCTTCTGCTTTAGATTCCGCCGTTCCCGATGACGCCTTTATAGGAGACTGAGTTCTAAGCGTATCCATGGGAGGGGTTTGAGGTCGTGAGGTGGGGTACGGTGACTTCTCCCGTTGACGAGAACTTGAAACACGGCGAGTCTTCTCCTGTTGAGATGGTGGTGCGGACTCTGATTCGAGCGACCTTGTGATCTCATTCTCTTTTGGCGAACTTTCCTTTTGACTGTCGAGAACCTCCGCTGTGAGAGGTTTCTCTGCATTCAACCCATTGTTTTCGGTATCAGGATACGAATCGCGGCTGTCCTTGTTCTGTAGGTTATAAGAAGAACGATCGCCATCGACTTGACGAACCAAAGACGAATCATTTTCAGGTAAACTAGACTCTGTTCGCATACGTTTTGGCATCCAATTTTTCCCCCTTGAAGTGTCATGTTGCTCTCGATTGTATTGGTCATGCCTTTGGTCGAATGAATCGTAATGTCCGCGAACTGGAACTCCTCTGTTGCCATGCGCAGAGTAATCATCATATCCTCGTTTACCTTTTCGAGTTGAAGAAATATCATAACGAACCTATTAAGATCATTATGGGAATTAATATCGACGTACTCATACTGATAGTTTCACAAAGAATCATATACAAACACGAACGGTTCTACCGCTAAGGACGAACCCATCTAACTTTAAGGCCTTTTCGCTGGCTGTCTCGTCTACAAAGTCCAGAAAACAGCGACTATACATGTAAATAGGTTAATCAAGATAGAAGAGCCACCATCGTTACCAAAACACGAGCAAAGACGAAGTCAGCGATTTAATATTCCCCAAACCAATTTGGTGAAAGTTCTTCCATAGACACCAGGGAAATCAAAATTCACATACCCTGTAAAACGTTTTTGCCCGGTTGACCAGTCACAAACAAAATTCGATCTTGATATCTCTCCACACCTTTCAGTAAAAATCCTTTTGACATGTTCAAAGTCGATATCATACGGTAAATTGAACACACAAACAGAAACCTGCTCTGGTTTCGGATGCTGATATTTATCGGATTGCGAATAATATGACTCTGAAGGTAAACGGGCTCGAGAAGAGGCTAGCTGCTGCTGATTCGATGGTTGTTGCGATGGCGCTTGGTGAGATTGTCGAGTTGACCTCGGCTTAATCGGGGAATGGGATGGTAGGGTAGGCTGGCGGTCAAACGATTGCTTAGTTGCAGTGGGCGAGATTGGAGGGGGATGACCAAGAGACGAACTGGTAGATCGCGGGGATACAATTCTCTCTTTACTGATCGATCGAGAGCGAGAAGATTGCCGTCGACTTTCAGCTGATACAGGCTGACTTCGGTCTCTTACGGGACTTTGAACGTCTGAGTGAGTCTCATCTTGTCTTGGAGGTGTCCTCGGGGCTCCTCCAACCTGTCTATTCACTAAATCCCCTGCCAAATTATCCGCATCGACCTCCATGTTCGTTTCTGCAATACCTCCTCGATTGTGATCCCTAACTTCACTCCCATCTTCTCCTTTCTTCTTTTCACCCATCAAAGGTCCAGAACCTATATTCGAGAGTTGCTGCAACGATTGCTCCGAATGATTGACGGCACCAGTAACCAGTGAGGTAAGCAAAGACAGCATCGACTGCACCTCTGTAGCCGTCGCAACTGGATGCTCAGTCTCCGAAGTTGACGGCGAATCAACCCTGCTCAAGCTTTTTTCTATGTATGGCGGTAATATTTGAACACCTAATGAATAGCATAGATTAGATCACCGATTAATTCTTTCGCCTACAGACCGACGCACGGTTCAGCTGGCCGGCGGAATGTAAATTTTTGTAATGAACTAGAATCAACTGGTCCGGACTTGTCCAAAGTAGAATAACAATGGATAATAATCTATAAGTTTAAAGCTTTTAAACCTCGACTTACCGTTTTTCATGGAGAATTTGATTCTCAAGTGTAAAATCATCTGTATAGAAGGACCGACATAATCATAAATTCGGAGAAGGTGGACAAGTAAAAGGAATAGAGATCACTAGGTTAACCAAAGTTATATCACTTCATTCATCTCTTACAAAACGGCAAAATAATTCTCTGAACAACAATTTTATCCCAAACTTGATTCGTTTCGTAAACATCCGAGCAAGAAACACAATTTAAAGCCCCGCCAAACCGATAAATGAGTGCCATAAGTTCATTCAATAAAGGTTAACTTACATCTTCATCTTCCGTCGTCATTGCTTCAATTCGTATTTAACAGACAGCAAAGAAAAGATCAAACCCGGTAGAAACCGTAGAAAAGTAGTGGAACGAATGACTCTATGATTTGGGACTTCGGTGTCGCTTCCACACTTCCACGGCAAAAAGCTTACGCCTCTTGGTTCTCATGTTCCCCGCGCTCATTACCGATTGTATTGACATTTGGTATTCTAACATGCATTTTTCAGCCAGAGGCCCAGAAATGGAGTACCCCCATGCTTTCAAGAACACTATATATATCATATATAAACCCTTTGATTTTTGATGTTAATGATCAATATTATGTTGACACTTTGCACTTCACACTTGCCAGCATCGACCATCACCACCGAGTGAGTGAATACACCATATTTTTAATTCATCTCTTGAACATATCCCATAAAATTAAAAGTATCAGAAAATAAAATCAAACACAACAAACCCAAAAAAGAAAAAGAAAAAGAAACGCTGGCCCGGCGGGGATCGAACCCGCGACATTATGGTTAAATCGATAACCCCAAACCTTCGGACCAATTGTAGTCAAGTTTGTGGCTCTGGGATGCTACATACGCTCTCCCCAACTGAGCTACGGGCCTGCTGATTGCAGAAGCAAAAACAATTGTAACAATTGTGGAAGATTAATTGGTGTTCTGTATCAACAGGATTCGAACCCGGATTTTTGAGTACTCGCTCTTTCAGGAGGATGGTGCGGTCGTTCGACGACTACCCTAACGTTCCGAATCCTTACCTCATGTCTTGTGGTAACTCATTCATACATATACAGAACGATTTGATTCTAAGTTCCGTTACTCGTCCTGATCAGTCCGAAATACCTAAGAAAGAGTCAGAGAATACAGATAGGATAACAATATTTACGATTCCACCAATACGACTCCGGAATCGGGAGTTCGGACAGAAAGATTTCAATCCAGGTCCAACGAATTAGGTAGTAACGGGTAAACTGCTCCTTTTTGCAGCCTATCAACGGTGCAGAGTTTTGTAGAACCAACAAACCAGTGGAGTGTTTATTCAGATCATGTTACCATGACAAACTGGTTTGTAGAATAGCTCATGACTGTAACGGTGTGATATTCTTAACCACATTAACGGATGAAATCAAAATTATTGTGGCAACGTTATATTTTATTTAGGTTTAATTACAAGATGATTACGATTTCTTGACGGGTAGAAGTGAGTGTCTTGAAACCGGCTAAAGTGGGGATGTGAAATACACAAGAGTGGAAATGGATTGTTGAATTGTTGAGAAGAAACGAAGAGTGAACGGTATTGTGGAATTCATTTTTTTTATTTTTTGAATCCCCGGGCTGCAGTTCGGACTGGTTTTGAGTTGGAGTAGTTTGAATTTGTACCGTCAAAGTTCTGTCGTTATTGGGGATAGGTGGAAATTAAAAGGAGAGAGAAAGAGAGATAATAGAGGTTGAGTTAGACTCGAGCAATTTATAATTGTGGATAACCATAAACTGTTCCAAAGCAAGGAGAACAAACCTCTCGCAGTTTCATCAAGTCATCTAAAATTTCTCTTTCCTTCAATCCACCTAACGGCGGCACTTTCTGGTCTCTCTGTCGTTTAGTTTTTGTCGGTTTATCGTCGCCATCATTAGCGTTTCGTCTTCGTAGTTTGCGAGTGTTGGCTCTATTTGATGAAGACATAGAAACGTCTGCTGTGGATTTGAAAGCGTGGTAAGAAAATGAGAAATGAGAGACAGTTAGATCAAAGAATTTCTTCAGGTTGGGGAAAGAATCACAGTACCGAGATCGAAACAGGGAAAATGGAACATACCATTGCTAATCTCCAGAGCCTCTCGTTCATCTTGTAACTTTCTTTTCTTATCTTCCAGTGACTGTATCATTTTCTCCCTCAGTGTTGTTCTTTCATTCTGTATTTAATTTGACCGATATCAGTTCACCAGGACATTACAAATCCTGTTAATAAATAAAACATAACTACCAAATACTCTTCCTCTGCTGCTTTTATCTCAAATTCACACATCTCCTCCGCATGTTCTATTTGCCACTGTCTAAATAAATCAGCATCTTCTAGCTGTTCTTCCCTCCATATCTCTAATTCTGTGACCTTGTCTTTCAGTAGATCTATTTTATCCGCATTTTTCCCATGCAGTCAGAGTTAGTTTCGATTTGAAATTAATGAATCGGTGGGTTGATTGAAACGATTAGGGAACAAACCTCCATTGGCGATGTCGGTTATATCTTTCTCATATTCCAGTTGAAGTCGAGTAAATATCCTGAATATAGGGAGAAAATATCAAAATAAGAAAACATGAAACCTTTGTTAGTTCAGGTCATATGAAAGTAATTGATTCTCTACATTGTCCTCAAGTCTTCACAGTTGACCATTCCTCAAACAAGATTCAGGAACCAATCTGTCAACGATGGAAAAACAAGGCCCCGCAAAATGAGGAATTTAAGAGAACAAGAAATAATTTGTGGAGGTACGAACCCATTTCGTTTTTCTAATGTTTCTTTATGAAGTTTATGTATTCGTGACATACTATCTCGAAACTTTTTTTCGTTACTGGGTTCTGGAGGGGGTGCCGGTATTTGCGGCGATTCTGTAGATGGCGAATACCGTCAGTATTTGGAGAATTCATAAAACAAGTTCATTGCGCACTTCACAGCGTAAATGCTGAAAATGCACAGGCAGGAAAGAGAATAAAAGAAGAAGGACGAGAGAACAAGGGGTGCAGAATCGTACCGTTGTAGGTTCCGTCCGAGGTGTACTCTTGCTCGTCGACATCGTTGAAGACAGTGGCCGGCTGATGATGGCGTTCGTAGAGGGAGGTGGCCATGGGATGTGATGCTGCGATGGATACAGGGTGTGTGGAGTGATGAAGATGGGAGCGATGAGAGGGAATCGCGGAGTGCTGGATCTGGCCTCCCGAGTTCCCCTGAGGAATTGGGCTCAACGGCAACTTTCAGCCACACGTACTTTTACAATGTTCCATACACCAAAACTTATCCATCAAACCAGAGTGCGTTATTAGCATTATTAACTATTAAATCAAAACTTTTTGCTTACAGTATTATTCTAAATAATTCAAGAGATAAGATAATGATACACAATTTTTCCTTCTTGTTCCAAATGGCAACAAGCTCCTTCCCAACGAGTATTGTACGTCGGCCCAGATATGCCTACTCAACAAACCGCAAATCGCTCACTCTGTCGGGGGCATATTTGTCCTTATGCACATCAAACACTCTCATCAACTCATCAGCGTACTGTTGCCATATTTCTTTTACTTTTTCGTCCGTAATGTCTTCATTCTCGAATTTGTCCAAATGAATCGGTCTGCCCACTACACTGACAATTCTTCTTCGATGCGGTACAATGCCAAAAGTGTAGTTAAATATTCCTCTTCCATTGATCAACGGTAATGTCCACCCGAAGGTATTTTTGAGTTTGTTTTGGAATGAACGGACCAAAGATCCTTGGGGATTGTCGATTTGATCATAGACGTCGTTTTCGCCAAAACTCATGACTAAAGGAGATAAAAGTTAGGCATCTGAGAGAGAAAAAGAACAGCGTAACAACGGTATTGCGAATTTGAAGAACTGTACCTGGAACGAGAGAGGCGCTAAAGAGGGCAAAGCTTATATGAGTTTCTGCAAATTTGAGGACGCATTAAAAACTATTTCAAACATACCCATTCCTCATCGCAAGTTTGATGAAGCCTAATCGTTTCTTCAATACTAAATCATAAGTGCCCGGGAACGCAAACAGAGACTCTTGGGCTCCTCCGACAACTATATTTTGCAAAGAACGTTCCGTCAGTCGCTGAAAGCTACAATGCTTATGTAGAAAACTATGAAACGAACCAATCATTAAAGAATGACCATCCCCTTTTCGCAAGATACTTTCGCAACTTCGCCTTGACACACTGGCAATACTGAGAAACAGGATCAAGTCTCGAAAGATCGGAACTTTGAAATTATCTTTCAGCGTGAGAAGTCTGAGGTGAATTCCGGGGAATAGTGTACTAAAACTGTTGGCTTCGGTGGCGAAATTAACCCAGGCCCCCATAGATATGACACCTAAACGTGCGAACAACGGAAATTATAGCCAATAGATCATAGGAAATAGAAATTCATTAAAAGTTAGAGGGCGTCTGAAGCGTTCGCGGGGAAGGTTGAAGACAAAGCGATGGTATACCGTGAGGATGATAACCTGATGTACGATCAGAAACGAGGTGAGTATGTGCTTCCAACATAGACGAATGATATTGGGTTTACGTACCAAAAATATAGTTTCGGGTAGGATCCAAATCTGCTTCTTTGTGCAATTCCACGGGGTAGAAATCTCTCATCATCTTCCAACATTCCCATTTACGAACCCATTGCCATCCTGGAAAAAACGAATAAGTATTGACGGTACAAGTCAGTCACGCAAGTTTTTCTATATCGCCGGCTTGTCTGAGCTCTACGTCATTTTGACAAAAGACAGGCATCACACATACTTCTGCCACCAGTGGAGGGGGCGTCGTCCCAGAAGAAGACCCATATCAAGTAGGCGACGGCGAACGCTTTTGTCAGGGGAGTCGTCAAGAGAAAGAAGAAGACTGTGAGGCAGATGGGTAGGCAGGCAATAAAAGTCAATACGCCGAGCGTTTCCCTTCGGCGATGCATAGGGACAGTGAGAGGGTTGGCATATTCGACCTTTGGGACGGGGATGGAGGGGACGGAGAGTGAGGGGACTGAGAGTTGCTTGATCATGGCTGTGTTGGGGATGGGAGGGATGTGCGTGCGGGTCAGAGGGGCCTATACAGTGACCATGGGATTTCAGGGTGGATGTGTTGATGTGATGGAAGGTGGAATTCAAAGGGAACGAGGGAATGGGCTGAAATGACGGAATGCACTCGCTGGACAGCTGTGGCGCTCCCACGTGGCCTCTGCACATCCCCACACTAACCCCACTCCACTGTCACATGCCAGTCACGTGGCCTCAGAACAGCCAAACAGCCAGCCTTCCTCGCTATACTGCTACACACAGATGGACAATGGAGTGATAAGACTGACATCACATACAAGCATCTCCTGTATAGAATGGCCTATGGTTGATAACGGGGTATATGTGTGTGTGCGGTGCTGTACATTTCAGCGGCAGTGAACGGCCATCGCCCGAGGGAAAAGGGGAAGCCATTCTGGTGTATTGATATTGTGCAATAAACAAGGAACACTCGGCACACGCTACTCTCGAGTTAAATCAACTTTTGCTGTGGTGATCTCGTTCAAGATATTCCTCTCTATATCTCAACCGGATTCTTATTAGTCTCGCCATACCCCTCTCTGAATTCTCCTAGCACTCATCAGTCCCCACACTCCGCTCGTTCCTGGCCATCTGTAGCGTCTTCAGCTTGTGCCGATCTGTTCTGGTCCACCTATACAAAAAACTAACAGTCTCCTTACTATGGCGTCTGAAGACCATCCAAATGTGCCCTCTAACCTGCCTCAAGTCACTTCTAAGAAACTCGCTCGATTAGAAGCTAAACTCGCGGAAAATGAATGGGACGTCGAGGCTTGGAATTCCCTACTGGCCGAATATTTGGGCAACTCACACATA